GTTATTCACCCACTACATTCCGGGGCCATACAACGAAGTTGCAGACAGCTTATCTCGGACGAAGTCGTTGGCGGACTGGCACTTGACGGACAAGGTAACAAGTCAAATCTTCAAAAAATAGGGAATACCGGAAGTGGACCTCTTCGCCACAAACGCATCATGAGTAGTTCCACGGTATGTTGCCAGGAGTGTAAAGGACCAAGCTGCCATGTTCACAGATGCCTTCAGCAGAATGTGGGATTTCACTCTGGCATGGGTGTTTCCTCCCCCATCATTGGTGCCGAGGGTACTCAGCCATCTGAACTCAGCGAAAGGAACTTATATCTTGATAGTTCCACGGTGGGAGAAAGTTGTCTGGAGACGAGACCTGAAGGCTCGTGCTCTCGCCCCTCCTTTCCAAATAAGAAACCTCCAGCATCATCTAGTAGATGCTCAGACGAACAGCCCCTCACCTCAAGCTCAGAACCTTTACTTGGAGGCCTGGAAAATACGGGGTGGTCCAATATCATAGGAATCTGGCCCATAGAAGATGTGGACATTCTAGCAAATTCATGGAGAAAGTCTTCACTGAAGACTTACTCAGCACCGTGGAGAAAATGGCGCGCATGGGCCATTGAAAGGAATATCACGTCCAACGTCCCAATCCGAGCGAGGTGGCTCAGTATTTGAATTACCTACATAGGATCAAGAAGCTGGCTCCGTGCACACCAAAACTCCATAAATCTGTTATTGCCACCTTTTCAAACCCAGAGAAGAGCGATTTGATCACGAATCATCCCCTGGTGAAGCATATGATGAAAGCAATAGACTTGAGCAAACCAATTTCTAATCGGAAACTGATATGGAACGTAGGGAAGCTGGTTTCGCTGGTATCACACAGGCAATCAGGCTGGAAACTTTCCAAGGGCTCAGAGAGACCGTTAGATCCAATTTACCGGCTGAAACATCTAATTTTAATCTTAGCCGAAAGGAGACGGACTAGCCAAGATTTACATCAGCTGTTCATCACAACTAGGGCAAGGTAGGACCAGCCTCTCGAGCAATCATAGCAGGATGGGTCAAGACATGTTTTGAACAAGCAGGCATCAATGATTTTCCGGAGAGTGTCCGATCTGCAGTGGCCTCATCAAGATATGATAACGAGTTGCCTCTGGATATAATCCTAAAGAATGGAAACTGGAACGGAAGAAAAAATTTCTTCAAATACTATAACGAAGAAATGAAAAAGACTGGTCCACTTGACGAGACTAAATCGGATTTAGTACAAAATAGTTTCATAGCATTATGATGGCGCCAAAGTTTATATCCGCAGCACTAAGAGTTCTGCGTGTTGAGAGTTCCTTTTTGAGTCGGTGTGCAGCACTACTCATCTTTTGTGTGTTTTCGTTTGTTGTTATCTCATTTAATAGAAGACTGATGTTTATTTTACTATTCAAAATATAATCTAAATAGAGCAGATCAGAGCAGAACTTTTAGCTATAACCATATATACACATTTATACATGTGTAGGTATATATATACTTCCAGAGTCACAGTACGCTTTTCCGCGTCGTCAGAGTCCAAACACATCTCATAGGGGTCAAGCCGACGGCACAGACATGAAATATAAACCGTTTTCCCCCCGAAGGGATGAAAACGAGTTATTTCAGGTCATGCCTAGGCTTGACCCAATAAGTAAGTGCTAGACGACTTACCAAGAGAAGGTACTGAAGAAGATATGCGCCCCGCTCGACCAACGGCCGACGGCCGCCAAGAGTGGGGGTAGGGACGCGAAAAGGGTGAATGCCTGCTACAGGGGTGAGAAACGGGGTTGTAATCTCATAGGGGTCAAGCCTAGGCAAGACCTGAAATAACTCGTTTTCATACTTTCGGGGGAAAACGGTTTATATTTTTTGCTGATCACACGAAACAAATATTTCAAATACAGGTTCAACTTTCCGATTTGTACTGAAATCTATCGAACAAAAATTAATTGGTCACAAAATTATATTGTCAACAAGTCATATGATTTCACATTTTTTACTCTATATTCAACAAAACTAATCAAGTTTGAGATTATGAATATTTGTATAATGCAGTCGTATGTTCGTTTCTGTAAGATTCAAAAGCCATTTAGCATACATTGTTTGACGTTTACGTTAACCATTAAATTCAACACGTGCCGCTCTTGAAAAAGGAATTGTAGAATTTCACTGTATATTATTATCTTCACGGTGTGAATGTGAAAGGTGAACCTATTTTCGACGATGCTGTGGATTTCGGTGTCGCGTTTCCTGAAATTGCATTCCCTTCACTGCCAGACAAGTTTCATTATTGTTTTCCTACACTTGAGTCAGCGGAATACTTGACAAGTATCAAACGATATAAATTGAATTTATGTTTGTCATTTATTACAAGCGGATGTCAGGAAATAAGTTGATTCACAGGAGATAAATAAAGGTTTCAATAATATTTTTTTCAATAGGAAGTCAATATATGTTCAACCATATTATCATATAGTTTACATCTAATAAGATCTAATAAGAATAGGTAATTATCACAATGAGGAAAGTAGCACTTTTCAAAAACTATTTTCATTGATAATTTGATGAAATGGAGTTCTGTCGAAATGTTTGAACCAACGTAGTTGATATAAAATCGAATATCAGACTTCGCACTTTTTCCTCAAAAAAAAATCGAATACATGTCAATTTGGTTTACGATTAGCTTGTGACATTTGTAAATGATTGGAAGAATAATTAGTCCAATTCACTTTTCTATGGATGGTGACCATAATGCTTTGTTGAAATATTTCATTATCCGTGATTCCATTTTACTCCGTCGCGCGTCGTACAAAATTTTACTCCCTTCAAAAATCTGCTTTTGTCTGCTTCTGTGAACTACTGATGCAGTTGCACGTTGAGGTAGATTTTGAAGTTCTGACGGGTGTGTTTTCGTATAATTCACAGTTTTCGAGCAAATTCTAGTCTATACATGTCCGATTTTTTCCACTTATCCCTTTTGGGTTTTGCGTTGAATAACATGTTCCTAAATTATTATAGTGAATGATGTATGAATTGAAAGGGGTAAATTTTAAAGAGAGATTGATTTTGAGGAAAAAATTATTTTCAAATTGATTGCTTCCTTCCTTTTGTGAATGATTCCCCCATTTTTTGTATAAAGATGAAGAAGTAAAAAGCCAAACTTTTCATTCCCATAAATGATGTAATGATTTTGAATTTTACAAAACTGTTTTTCTGAATTCCGAAAAGCTTTCTATTGCTATAGCTAGCATATTTAATAGCTTCTTCATGATTAATGTATAGCTCATTCCTGATCAATTTTTGATTTTTATCTGAGATGATTTTCTCATTTCAGTTGACTGGAATATGGTTATTAGGTGAATGCTATCTGCTTCATGATCTAAACTTTTTTTGAAAAGCCTTTTCTGATGACGGCATCACAACTGTTCTATGTATCTTGTTCTATGTAACTGATGTGAAAATTTTTTGCCAAAAAAATTATCCTATCAAATTTGTCTATTTCTAGTCATGTGTGTCGAAATAACCAATGAAACCATCATAAATGTCCTTGGGATATTATAGCTGATAATGGACTTGAAGAATCCATGAGCATTGTACAGTCTGTAAAAATCTTATAATTCATTATAGTTCTTCAAAGGGGAAAATAATTGGATTGAGGAAACACTTTCCTATCTAATAATGAGATTTGATTATTCAAACTTGTTATGTTTGGGTATAAATTCCAATTTAGTGATTTGGATTGAAAAATTATCCAGAAGCTCAGTAGTTTAAAATCATTTTTGACACAGTCTGGATAAGATAATCTTGTAACTCTTTCTTTGAGAGCTGAAACTAAAATATTTTTCATTCTCAAATGATGATGCAAAAAGTAACTGATAAATTTTTTATCACATATACCCTCACAGACAAAAATATTGCATATTGTATTTCACGCTTCGATTTCATGTTCATTTCTATTTGTCTCAATCTTCATGCAGTTTTCATTACTAAATGATTCATGCTGAAGTATTCAACGTATATTAATTGCCAAAAATCTAGATATTGAAACTCTATAACACACTTGTAGAAGAGGTAATGAAATATTTGTTTGAAGGTGATTGACAATGTTTCATGATGAATTCCACTAGTTCGGACTTCCATAAGGTTTATTTTGGTTAATATAATTGTTATTTTCAGCTATACATTTTCAATTCTTCTTTTTTAGTTGTTTCAGGGATTTCAAATCCTTTTATACAGTAGACAATGGAAGTCCGAACTAGCGAAATTCACCAGGTAATGAAATAGACTACTTTTGGTAATAATATTTGATCAGAGCCAGCAACAATGACAACAAAATGAAAATTCTCCGAGGCGACCTGATAACAGTTCATTACTTAGTGTTTCCTCTCCTAGCTCTAACGATAGCCTGCATCCTCCTGAGCATACTCCGCAAAAGGTCATTCATGATTTCTTGTGGAATTCGATTCCAGTCTTTCTATGCAGCATTTCTTAATTCTGCGATTGAGTTCGTGTTCGTTTATGTTTTTTAGGATACCCCAAATATGTTCAATTGGATTTGTACGAGAATTGTTTGGTGGTCACTCCAGTCTCAAGTCCAACAACTAAAAGATAGGGGTGCCTGTTAGCACCCCTATCGTGCATTAGCATGAAATTGTTGTTATCAATGAAGCCGCCGTAAAGTAAAACATGCTCTTCAAAGATGTTGCATATGTACCAATCAGCATTCATTCGTAAATTCACCGCTATAAGCTCGGTGCCACTGTCCCAACTGATGCCACCCCACAATATAATGGAACCACCACCAAAGCTCACGTCATGTACGTCCATCCAGTTTGCATAACTGTATTCCTGTTTCATCTGTGAAAAGAATTTTTCCCCACTGATGTTCATTCCAGTTGACATGGGCTATGGCAAATTGAAGCCGTCAAGAATTGTGACGTGGGAAAATCCTAGAAACTCTGGCAGGGTGTTTTAGATTCAAATCAACTTCTTTGAGTCTTCTTATTACTGTTTTGATACTCATGTCAACTTGTCTTGTGCTCAGTAAATGATTATTGAGATTCGGATGAAAGCGTGCGATTTCGCAAAGATTGAATTCTCAAAATATTGGTCATCTCTTGGCGTTGTACATCTCTAATTTCCAAAACCAGGCCGCCTTTTATACTCACCATTCTCCTTGTACCGCTTCATGATACGAGAAACAGTCGATCGATGGATATGCAATCTCCGCGCATCAACTTCTTGTCTGTATCCCTCATTGACTAAAGTAACAATTTTAACATAAACGAATTCGGTCAAATGCGTCATCCCACTAAGAAAACTATAGAATCAAGACATAAATCAATCAGAATGTCATTTTGACATCAATTGGAGCCCATGGAAAAAATTAACATGATAAAAATTCTTGAAATGAAATATGCAAAATTTTTGTTCGAGAGTGTAGATATTTTATACCACATGGTTTCCACCCTCCTGTCAGGAAAAGGTAAAGATTCATCCACCTCTTCATCACACGTGATATATAGGTAAGGACTGTAATAATTAATGAAACTGGGAGTGTTATCAATTGGATTTTCAGGAAGAGCTGAAAATATGTCATCAACATATCGTTTATTTTGAAATTTTGACCAATATGAAGCCATGGGAGTTACAGAAATCTGTTTATAATATTGAATTCAGAAAATTTGACTCATAAATGAATTTAACTAAACGGAATTTTTTTTTTGTCTAAAGGTGTATATTACCTTCACTTGAATCATACTCAATGCTTTGAACTATTGATTTCAATAAGGGATTTGTGAATAAAGAAATAGCATTGAAACTTATAATTTTATATTGATCGGGTGAATGAAACGAATCTTCAAAATGAAAGTCCTTTTCAATATTACAGAAAATTGTCAAAATATCAGTCAAAAAATGTGCAATTGGTCTATTATGAGAAAAAATTGAAAAAATAATCGATCTCATTGATAAAGATGGTTTATAATTTTTGGGCAAAGCATAAAATCTTGGGAGTGATGGCATTATAGATTTTACTTTGTTTGCCAATCTTGTCATTTCCTTTTTGTTGTGCACTAATCATAGAAATCAATTTGTTGGCTTTTTGTACAATATGCAAACAGGGTTATTCAGATTTTCTTGACATTGTATCCAATTGATCCTGCTTATACATTCCAGGATTTTGTTTGTGAAAAAATTAATATCGATAGAGAAAATGATTAGTTGGATCTTTATGCAAATAATATCTGTTAGATTGATATTGATTGATTTCAATTTATGAAATAGATGATTATTATTGAATATTCGAAATTCACCTACCCGGTGACTGAATACGTCGAATGTAAGACGAAATATGGATCGAGATCGAAAACTATGAAAGTACTCAAACAAACCCAAATATATTTAAAAAACGTTAAATACAATTGACTTATCAATCATGTATCAATGACAGTTACTTGACAACTTCTTATAGAGAATACAATGTGTATAAAAAAAAATTACCAAATTCAGAAAATGAACTATCTGCGACATACTCCCACCTTGAGTTGAGGAACCTTGTTCACCAACAACTCAAATTGCTACGAAGAAAATATTTGAACTGGTTCAACTTTTCTACCATATCTATTAGTTATCGGAAGTGGTTCAGAATTTTCGAAACACCCGTTGTCATTTTCATGTGTTTCTTCAGTTTCTTCACTTTCGGTCTCTCTTGTAGAAACTGCTTGGTCAGATATTTGAGTTGAGTCCAAATCATCAGCACAATTCATATCTAAAGGATATACTCGTTGTAGAGCCCTGAGTATTATTCCCTTAGTTGTCTTCAGTTTGACCAGACGTGTTTTATTATCCCTCCCAGGTATCAGCTATTGAACATACGCCCAAAGGCCATTTCATCCTTTCGGTATTGTCGGTTCCTATCAGAACGACTTCACCAATTTCGATTTCTCTCTGTTTTCGTTTTTCCGATGACAATTTCAGCTGACCGAGATATTCATTTCTAAATCTTCTACGAAGATCATCTTTCAGCTTCATCGAATCCTTCTCTCCAGTTCGAATGTAGAGTGGACCGGCTAAATCTACACCGATGACTTCAAAAATTTTGGCTTCTCGCACACGATTTTCTGGAAGTGCTATAGGTGGAACCTCAATACGTCTGGAGTTGAATCTACGACATTTCGGGCACGTTGAAATGACAGATTTCTCTGATTTTCTTAATCTGATTATCAAAAATCTCTCGCGCAGAAGGCTCAATAATCCCTGAACTCCGACATGCAATGAATTCAAGTGAGTTTCGTAGATTAGTTTACTCACAACAGGATGCTCAGGAGGCAGAATGATAGGAAAACGTAAATCAGGAAAATCAGTTCTTTCGGAAACCTTGCTTCTAATTCTCAAAATAACATCATCATCAGTGAAGGAACAGAAACTCTTCAACTGAGAATCGTCAAGTCCATTGAAAGGTTCATATTGCACAAATCTCATTGTACATTTTTTAGCAGACTGCACTTCCTCGAAGGATAATTCTTCATCAGAATTCTTCTGATTTTTGAAACGGCAATGGACAATAAATCTTCGAATCCAACCAAGTATTCGGATGATTTTACTATATTTCGAAATTCTCTCATGATACCAGGAAAAACCATGTGGCGTTGAAATATTATTCAAAATCACACCTCTACTTTTCTCTGATTGAATCATTTCCTTACCTCGAGTGTAGAGCTGATTCGGTTAGTACTTCGCAGATTTTCTCAACCATTCAGGTCCCTCCTACCATTTTGATTGAATCAATTGTCGTGGAGAACAACTACGAAATGGAAGATCGGCGGGATTGATATCTCCTGGAACGTGAAACCAGGCATTTGGATTAGTTAAGCTTCGAATTTCCTTCATTCGATTCCAAACGAAGGGTTTCCAATTCTCTTCATCTTCGATCCAAGCTAAGACAGTACTCCAATCAGAACAATAATAAACCAAGGTACTGGAATCGATGCTGTCGGTAAAAGTTCTAGATAATCTTGCTTTCATGGTAGCTGCTCGTAATTCCAATCTGGGAATGGTCATTCGTTCAACTGGACTTCCATTACAGAAAATATACAGACTACAGTGATTCTTTCCTTTCATGAAATCAAATAACCATCTGGGTACTTTTAGGTCGAAAAGAATTGGAATGTCTTCGAACCATTTTAAAAAACCTTCTTTGATGTATTTTTGTACCTCAGTATCTCATCCTGTTTTCAATTCACATGTCTTCAGCAATAATATATTGGGATAGAGAGAAACTGGGCATGAACATCCAATGGGATCGAATACTCTTTGAGCTATCGACAAAATAACCCGTTTTGTTATCATTCCAGTATGAATATCTTGAAACCATTGTGATGTCAACTGCAATGTATCAGAGTTTATATTCCAAGAAAGTCCCAAAACCGAAGAAAAACTGTTGTCATCAGCTGAAAAACCATCGAAGCCAGAATGCTCTCACCCTCTCAGATCAAATATGGCATCAGCAAAGAGCCTTGTGGAAACTTCAATGAAATTCTGGATTTCTTCTCTAGTGCCTAAGCTGACAACGCAATTATCTACATAAAAACCCTCTAGTAACTGAGTTATCATGTCATTATTTTCGGAATTTTCGAGGCAACTTCTCAAATGGTATTCGATTACAGGTCCTAACAGGAAACCCCGAATAAAACCCTTGTATGTCGATATGTTTTCAGAAATCCTGTATCATCTAGCCAAAGGAAACGCAAAAAATCTCTTTCTTTGGGATTCGAGCTTATCTGCAGAAAAGCTTTCTTCAGTCCAAATCGTGAAAAACGAAATCTTATCAACAGAGACGGTATTAATTCAACAAGAATAAAACCCTTGTATGTCGATATGTTTTCAGAAATCCTGTATCATCTAGCCAAAGGAAACGCAAAAAATCTTTCTTTGGGATTCGAGCTTATCTGCAGAAAAGCTTTCTTCAGTCCAAATCGTGAAAAACGAAATCTTATCAACAGAGACGGTATTAATTCAACAAGATTAATACCCTTTTCTAGGCATTGGTTCAAGGATGGCTGATTTTTCTGTCGAGAAGAGGCATCAAAAACAGGTCGGATTTTTCTAGTCGCGCTATTTTCTTTTACTACGTGGCGATGTGGTAGATAATGCCCTTCTTCGAGTAAGTCCGACAGAGGGTACCTATTCAGTGATACTCTCGGTTTGCCATTCTATGAAAATCTGGGCATATTGATCACGTAAACCATCTGAATCGAGTTTCTTCAGCAAAGATTTTAATCGTCTTCTGGCTGTTTCATAATTACTCGGTAAAGGAGGATGATCTTCGAGCCAAGACAGACAAACTTCGTATCTGCCATCTTCGTGCCTAATAACGTTTTTCAAGAATTAAGACATGACAAATTCTTCGATTTCTTTCTGTGTCCTCTTTTCTGACGGATCAGAAATCCCAAGCACATCCAATGAACATAAGTCAGCAATCGATTCGTATTTGGAAAACATGGACATATCGATGGTTTCGGAGTTTATTCATGGTTTTTTTCGAGTTTTCCCGTCAGGGTCCAACCTGATACAGTTTCAATTGCTACTATACCGCATTTCAACTCATATCGGTAACCAGTGAATAACTTTCCAGCTATATCAGCACCAATTAAAATATCGTTTGGCCCTTCTCTGACATCAGTGATTTCGATGCCAACAGACTGCAATTTATGTATCCAAGGACCTTCACGAATATAGTTCACATTACTGCATATGATTATTTGATCAAGGGCTTCAAAATTGCAAGCATATTTATTCTTCAAGTCACTCAATTTTATGCGATAACAATTATGTTTGACAACATTCATTCTCAAGCCACCGAAAAGGGCGTGAAATTTCTTCTTGCCGCGAGCAGTTGTATCCTATCTCTTCAGCTGCAGATTTCGTGATGTAAGATTTTTGAGAACTGGTATCAAAAATTATTCGAGCTGTTCTGGATTTGTCGAATTCATTCAAATTGACGACTATGTCTGTAGAAAAACTTTGGAATATGAACTGTTTGATAGACTGTTTTCTACACTCGTACTCATAACACTTGCTTTTGAGTCTGAATCTTCGGACTTGAGAAACATAATGGAATGATGTTGACCACCGCAAAGAATGCAAGTTTTGGATACATGACATTTTTTGGAAATGTATCCATAATTCAAGCAGATATAAGAGCAGGCTTTTCCAAAAAATGTCCATTTTTTTGCTTCGGTGCAGAGTTCGCTTGGATGATTTCCACTACAGAAATTACATTTTTTGTGTAGTTTGTAATTTGTCAATCCAGTTGCGATTGGTGAAGAAGAATGATGTTTTCGGGAATCATGTTTCTTCTTGAATTTACCTTGGATGCCGAATCCAGAGGTAGCTAAGGTAATTCTTTCCTCATTCTCGACTTCTTTCCTGAGAAAATTCATCAACTTGTCTAGGCGATCTTTGAGTGTAGAGTCACTGTTGTAAAGACTGCTTCGTTGCCATACTCGTATAAGGTCTTCCGGGGGACAAGACTCCACTAAAGGATATAATATGGCTGCACAAGTATCTGAAGTTACATCGAGGGTCTCCAAAGCACGCAATTGGGATTCCATTTCATCATAAAGAATGCTAAGGTTATTTTGAGTCGACAAATTGTTCAGTATCTATTTCAAAAACTCATGCACATATAATTCTACAAGAAGATCTTTCCTCCCAAATCTTTTTTTCAAACTTTCAATTACTTTTGGGTAATTTTCTGCACTGGGAGGGTAACTATCTATGAGTTGACGAGCTTTTGAATTAGGTATCGATGCTTGGATCAGAT